AAACGAAACCCCATGCCCCTCCCAAGCATCTCCGAGGCCTCCAGGTGCATCTTGGTTCGTGTTCCTAAGCTGGGAACCCACACCCACCCCGGCCTTGCCCTCAGGCTCATCCGGAGAGTGTGAGGAGGGGCCGTCGGTGGGGGGTAAGGAGGGGGATGGCGAGGCTCGACGGGAGACCAGACACCGGTGGGAGAAAGCGAGGTTGGTCTTGGAGAGGGAGGCAGGATTCTGAAAGACCCGTCTGGTCCCTGAAGGGCCGGACAACTTCCCTTTCCCTGTCGTGCCAAAAATCTCTCTCGCCATCATGTCCACCCGGAGAAGCAGGGTGCTGACTCGACCACACTGCCGGAGTGGTGCTTAGGAAGGGAAACCCAGAGTCTGTCTGGGGTAGGCAGCATGGCTGGGGCAAATGCACTCGAAGCACGCAGAACCGGGAACCGGGACCGGTGGGACGTGAGTCCAACGCAGTCTCAAGGCCAGAGCCAGGGCTGGGGATTTGGGCGATACTGGAAGGAAGGTCAGAAATCCCGAGGTGCGGAGGGAAGGCAAGGGCTCTGTCCGCAGGTGGCCGGGGAGAGGGGAGTGGGACAAGAATGAAGCCTCTCACCTCCTGCAGCCCCAGAAACCCGGCCCTGAACTTGGAGACCCGCCTCTAGGGGGGGCATCTTCGCACGTGGGTGTGATCTTTGGCGCGCTCTGGCGCCCCCTCGGAGGAGTGCGACGCGCATTTGCCCTACCTGGACCCCAGCTTTGGGCGCCCCCCCTCGCGCCAGGCACCCCGACTTGCAGCCCCGGAGCCCTCCTAAGACCTCCCACCGGGCAACAGGCGCTAATGAACAAAAGGCCAATTAGATGCTGGGGCGCGGCTGATGAATGAACCTTTCGCTTTCAAGCGTGGCACCGCCTAGAGTTTCCTGGCGCACCGGGTCACGCCGGAGAAGCCGCCTCCGGGAGCGGGGTCATGGCTGAGGTCACAGGGTTCTCAAAACTCCCACTTTCCCCTTGCTTCGGGGCTTCTGCGGGAAGAAAATTCGGCTGCCGAGCCGCGAACGTGGGCCGGAAGCCGCGGACCCGGCGCGCCAAGCAGCTCTGCGATGCAACTCGGCTTCGGGCGCGGCGCCCCAACACTGCAGGCCTGTATCCTCTGCCGCCCCGCCCGCGGCTGCTCCGTGGCGGCACCCCAGTAAACCCAGCGCTGATTGCTGGAACAAAAGTCAGTCTAAAAAAATGCGCAGTTACAAAAGAAAAAAAAAAAGCGGCTGTTGTTTGCCAAACTCCGGAGCTGGTGGTGCCCTTCGGAACAACATCCCAACCCAAGCCTCGCTAGACAGCGCCTAGATCCCAAGACGCACATAAGCCGCCCTAGTGCTGGGTATGGATCCCCTATGCCCCTAATCCCACCATCACCACCACCTACGCACGAAGAAATGTCCTCGCGAGTCGCACACACCGAGGCCACCCCCATCCTCTGAGACGCACAACTCCAGCCGAATTCACAGACATACTGTGCGAACAGACACAAATTCTACAAACTGCATTTCCACACCTTCATAGGCACTTCACAGTCCCACAACTGCTCGGGCTTGCCCTAACTTATAACAACCTAGATGGGCAAGGACAGCCAAGCATCTTGACACACTCACACAATTACACAAGTAGCACTGGCCTCTCCAGTCTCTAACTTAATTATCTCCGACACAATCTGACTTAATTTGTAGCTGAGACACACTATTCTATCTCTGCAATCCACACAAACACAACCATGTCATCACAGACTAACTAGTACACTCATGCTATGCAAACACACATTCACAGATCCTCAACCCTGTCACCCTTGTACCAACTTGCAAAGGCCCACTTGTGGACGGCCCAGCCCTTAAATCCCCCACTACGGAGCGGGGCCCCGGGCCAGGCCTCTGAGCCACCAGAGTCCCTCCCCAACCGGCCTGCGCGTCAGGGACTTTGTTTCCTGAGACTCGAGGCGGGGACGGGGAGGAGCCGAGGTTTCCAAAGCCGCGCGCAGGCCCAAGCCCCCTTTCTGCCTGGCCCGCTCGGCGCGGCCCTCCGGTTGCCACAATCCGCCCCTCGCACAAAAGTGGCCCTGCAGGTTCCCGGCCGCGGCCAAGGCGCCCGCTCCGGCTCGGCTCGGCTGCCAGGAATAGAGTCAGCGAGAGCTAGGAACACCGGACTCCCAGAGCAAGAGCCAGGAAGAGGCACTCAACTGTCCGGGGGTCCGAAGCTTCTCCCAGCCCACGAGTTTCTGGCGCCTTCGTTGAGGAGCAGGTTCCGGAGCGACAACTGCGCCTGGCACCCATGTGTACCTCGCAGGAGAGCGTAGCCACGGCACACGTGCGCTATATATTCCGTCGGACTCTCCCGGCAACGCGAACCGAGAACCCGCGCCTCTCCCGAACGTCCGCTTGGCACAGGGGGCCGCACAAAGAAGGCCCACGAGTAATGAGGGAACAGGACGTGGATCAGACTTGTAACCTCCATCCTCACTCGGGGTCACCGGCCGGACACATGGCAACATGCTCACAGTTCTCCGTGGGCTGGGAGGAACACAGAACCTGGCCCACGATGCCCATAGAGTCCTGCCCCGGGGCATCCAGACCGGGCACCCATATAACACGAGGGGGCACACAGACCTGGGGCACACGGCTCGCACACCGCCCTCCTCGGAGGGCTTCAGCCCAGAACGCGCGCACTGCGAAGGGAACGAACGCAGCGGCCGCGTCCACGCGCCCCGCGCGCTCTGCCCCGCGCCCCACGTCCAGATAGTCATCGTGGGATGGCATCTCGCAAATATTTATATTCCTCGGCGCCACGGCAGCCCGCGTCCACATTAGACGCTCTAATCCTGCCACTTTAAATAGATGAATTAATAAAGCAAACGAGCGGCTAATAAGCTGACTGTCCTGCCTTTTTGAGGCGGGGGAAGGACTCGAAAGTGCGCCAAATTTGTTTGCAGTGGATCAAGGCGAGCCGCCTCTGCTTCACTTTCTTTATCTTAATTCCGACTTGAAAAGATATAATTATCTAGTTTGAACAGAGCTGCTATCAAATCCTTCTTTGGGCCGGGAAGGGGGGCGTTGGAGTGGATTGCGGCTCTCTGAGCCGCTCCGTGCAGCCGGAGATAGCGCGTAATGAAGATGTGGAGGCCCGAGATACAAAGGGCATTAACCTCATTAGCATGAAACCTTTTCTTCTTACCATTGTGGGACCCTTTCAGCCGCCTAATCCCCCCTATTTTCAAAGCTTGGTTTGTAATAAAGCTTTTAGTTTTTTTTTTTTTTTTTTCAAAGCTAATAGTATTCTCTGATGATTTTATTGCTGTTACACTACACAGGACGTTTACCAAAAAAAAAAAAAAAAAAACTTCACCACCACCCCCTTTACTTGTGCTTAAAAAAGTAAAGTATATGGTTTTGGCAGAAATTTAGCCTTTTATCAAGATGGGAAATTTTTTTCTGGAAAGGTCAGTCTGAATTTTAACGGGACCATGCTCAGTGTTTGAGGCATTCAGGATTTTGGAAAGGTGGGTGGAAGGGAAAGGTAATTCGCTTGTTTATGGAAAAGAGATGCAGGGGCCAGAACACTGCAAAGTGCACAGGGCAGCTAGTGGTCACTGAGGGTCGTGCTGTCTAACCAACTTTGAAGCCCTACCAGGGTTCCAGGATACCCAGAGCTGCACCTGTCCCTGCAAGAGGCAAGCCCGGGTGTCCCGAGGCCACCCCATCTCGCCCCAGCAACTCCCTGAAGGGAAGTCTCCTCCAAAACACACATACCTTCCAAGAGTGGTCTGTGTGAAAAACAGGCTATGATCAGCCAGGGCTCCACAGAGGGACTGAGATGAGAAAAATGGGGGAGAGAGGCAGAGATGGGGGGAAGAGAGAGAGGGACGGAGAATGAATTCTACTTTAGAGACGGGGAGGAAAAAAAAGAAAGAAAAAATTTCCATAGTGCCCTATAGTCCCCACACGTGCATGGAATGTCTAATCTTAACTTTTCAAGGCAGGATGTTAACAAAGCTTGTATTTTTGCCCTGCATTGTAACTTAGCCTTATCACGGTGTAAAGGGTGGGGAGATTGTCCTAAATTATGTCCAGGCAGCCCCCCTGGATCTGTGGATTAAGAGATTAAAGGAGACCACTGGGCAAGGCCTCCTCTTTCCCCTTCATATTCCTGGTATGATAATTGCTTAAACTGATTTGCACTTTCACAAAAGCTCGCAGGACGCTTTGTAGCTCGAACAGAACAGACGAGGTTTCTCTATCAATGGAAATAAAACTGATTAATGCAGCCTATCAGGATAAGAAGCAAATGAAGCATGCAAAAACAACCTCGTACCCCCAGAAGGGGGAAAGAGGGAGGAAAAAAAGCGAAGTTTCCTCCAAGTCTGATTACAACTTTTTCTTTAATGTTAAAATTGAGAGTGGATGGTTTCTCCGAATGCTTGCCTTATAAGGCTGCTGAGGTCCATGGGCTTGTCCCATCACTTTCAGCAGATTATGGCTGGGGAGAGAGGAAAGGAAAGAAAAAAGGAAAAGAGAGACTTGTACTTTGGGGTTTTAAGTCAGAAACAAAGTTTAGAAGTCCCAAAATTCTGATTCTGCTAAGTGTTTCCCCCACCCCAATATCCTGAGGGAATATTATTCCATACATAACTATATGTCCAGATTTTAAATTTTAATAATAGCCTGAGGTTAAGAGAAGTAAGCATTTTTAACCTTAAATTTAAACTAAACTTCCTCAGTAGGGCATGCAGTGGGCAAAGTCTGGTTGGAAAACTTTTCTCTCATCCCTTTCTGAAGGATTTAAGTTTTCCTAATCTTCTCCCTTCTCCATCTTCATCACTCTTTAAAATAACCGAGAATCCATGGGTCTGGCCCTTTTGTGGGTGGGGCGCTTGGGTTTCCTGAGCCTCGTTGAGGAAAGACCACACTCAAATTATTGAGATCCATTTTTTAAAACCCACTTCAATTTCCCAAGATGACTACTCTGAGGGCATATTGATAAATCTTTATTGACAAAATATTGACATTGACATACTTCTTGGAAGTATATAGTGTGTTAGAATTCTAACAAATTAACACAAAACACAAAAATATTTACATTCTGGTATAGAAGACATTAAGGAAGCATTTGTCACTCTCTTTAGTAGGTCTATGATCTTGGAATAGAAACTCAGTGCTCGAAAACTTGCCGCCTTGTGCTTGGCCACACGTAACATCGTCCCTGCTAACTACAGTCCTTCAGATTTTGCAATAGATAGAAAGTTTGGAATGGCCATTACAGTCAATGGATGAACTCAGCCAATCTCTCCAACCATTAAAAGGAGAAGTTTACTTTACGGTTTTAAGCCTCAGGGTGTTAGGAAAGGGAATGTCCAAGAAATATAATTAATTTAGGGCATTTTTTCAGTACAAATCCTGACTCTTTTTGTGGGCACCCTCCCCCACCACCCCAGCCCCTCCCCCCGTCCTGCTCCCCGTTTCTCTGTCAGAGGACCACTATTGCTGAGCCTACTTCATTTAGCTTTCACAATCACTTTGACATCAGAAGGTATCAAAAAGTGTTTACAGACTGCACGTTTCTCAGGAAAAAAAATCAAAATTAAAAGCACACAGAACCTGTCTTTAAAAAGAAAATAAAATTACAATTCATTTTCGGTCTTTAGACGCCATTCGCCCAACAACTGCTACATGCAATTCAAGGTTTGAAACAGGTGCAGGGAGGGGCTAGGTATGGAATTTTCATTTGTTATGACTAATTATTTTTAAAGATTGGGACAAAAACACTGCGAAGTGCAAAATAAAAAGTCCTGTGCCTGGTTGGTTTGTTTGGAATTTTTTATCATCATTATTATCATTTTTAGGTGGACTGCGATAAACGGAATACCTGCCAATCATCTTGTCTCGCTGATTTGGTGTTTGACTGACAGCTCCCCTTGTCAGAATGCTCCTTCAGCTTTGCCACATTCAAATCTCTCTCTCTCTCTCTCTTTCTCTCTCTCTCTCTCTCTCTCTCCACCTCCCTCCTTCTTTCTCCTTCTCTCTGTCTCTCTCACTCACTCACTCGGCTGCCTTTTTAGACGAGGGTTGCATGTTGATGATGGAGCTTCCGTCCTCTGTCCTCTGCCATCTTGGCGCGGCCTCGGATAGGGACCCTGTGCCCATGCTGCCCACAGTCTTCACTGTGTGCCGCTGCTCCCTCTGATTCCCTCTCCCTTTCTCGGTGAATGTGTGTGCGGTTTGTTTTTGTTTGTAGGCTTTTTTTCTTTTCCTCCTCTCCCTGTCTCAGTTTTGCTCCGTGTTGTCCATTTCTGTGGGGTTGGGTTCGTGTTTTTAATCGTCTGAGGTCACATCTATTTCCTCTGGACTCGCCTGCTTGGTGGCGATTCTCCACCGGTTAATATGGTGAGTCCCCTTTTTCTTTTGTTGCGCATCTGAGCCTTCTTCCTCCAGCTTCTGCCTTTTGAACTTTGTTCTTCGGTTCTGAAACCATACTTTTACCTGCGGGCAAGAGGCAGATGGGGTGCTTTAGTTCTTTCACAGAGCCGGCATGCCAAGGGCCAGATCCCTTCGTGTGTCCCAGACTCAGCAAAGGCCCAGCCCCCCGGATGCATATCCTAAAGTCTTGCCCCCCCAAAGGCTCCCCCTCGGGGAGCAGGGGCCCTAGTATGCAGGGTGTAAGAAGCCAAACCACCAGCTCCCTACCCCTCTGAGCTGTCCCGGGGAACCTGTCCACAGGATCCCGCCGCCCAAAACGCACTGAGCCCCTTGTTGCGTGGCCCTGCACAGGACACCTATATCCTGCTGGAGCAAAGGCCTTACAGAGCTTGAGAAATCCCTCTTAAAAAAAAAAAAAAGTAATGAAAAATAAAAGGAGGCATGTCCCTAATGCTCTCCAGCAAGCGAATGCAAGAAAGACCTCCGCCGGCACTGTTGTTGCTTCCCTTGGGGCCCAATGTGCTTTCTATTTTCTGCTGGTCTGGGCAGTTATTCCTAAATATAGCACCTCCTCTGCAAAGTCGGGGCCCTGAGTAGACAACTGAGGTTTGCCTGGGCTGCATCCTCCATGCTGGGGGCTCTCACAGGTGAGCAGGAGGAGGGAGGGGCTGGAGGAAGCCCAGAAGGACCGTGAAGTATACAGGCCTCGTGACCAACTCATACCTTTACAGCTAGTAAAAGGGATTCAAAAGCGAAAGCTTCTGAAAGACCATGGGTTAGACGGGAAGTAAGAGAAAAGCTGAGAAAAAGGAGGGGAGATGAGAGCAAGCCCCCTCTTCCCTCCTCCTAACCAGTCCCAGAACAGGCCGGCGTCAACCTGGGACCCGGTCCCGTCACTTCCCACCAGGGTGGGACTGGTGGCCTGGCCTCGCCAGAGTGGCTGCCAGAGGTCTGGGGAGCAACGAAGTGGAAGTCAGTGGCCCCGGAGGAAAGCTGGATGCTGGGCTCTCATTCAGCCACCAGGCAGTAATGTAGTCCAAGCTTCTCGCCTGCGGGGTACAGGTGACGGTGGTGACTGCACCTCTGATGCCCCCGCCTGTCCTATCTGGGTAGCAGTACCACAGCCCAGTGCAGCCCCTGGAGCCCCGAGGGTCGCTCCACTCCCTCCTTTAAGACTGCTCGTCTGTCCCGCTTGCTCTCCCCCAATGCCCCAGTCCCCCAAAGTGCCCCATGAAAAAGCTGAGCGGGAACAAGGCTGAATTTAATTTGCTTTGAGTTTGCTAATTGAGGGGGAGGACGGTTCATTTCTCCCCGGCGCTCGCCCAAGGCGCGCGTCGGTGCGCTGGGGGCTTGACACGCACACAAAGACTCCAGGCAGCGTGGGCAGCGTGGCGGACAAAGACCACCGCCGCCTCGGCTGTCCAGGAGAAATCAGCAGGGCCGCGCCTTGTGCCGGGCTCCGCACAAACCCGCGAGGCCCTCCTCCGTTGTTGCCTTTTTTTTTTTTTGGAGGGGGGGAGCCGTTTTAAAACAAAAGCCTCGACCTTTTTGCGCTGCCCAGAAAGTGTTACAACTTAATCTGCCCCAAAACGTTACTGTTTACTGGGAACTTTGACCCCGCCCTGCAGCTCCGTGTACAGTAGCGCCTACTGTAGCCCTAAGCCCCCTCCCCACCCTGAGATCAGTCCGATCAAGGCCTGCGTCGGTACCCTGCTGCCAGAAGGCCTGTCCCCAAGGCAGACTCTCTCTGCAACCCTTCGGTTTTCCTTCTCCGACTTAGGACTCACCCAGAACGCTTGGCCTCCACTTTCCGACTCTCCTGCACCCTGAGGAAAGTAACTGAAGCCTCCGGGTTTTGAGCTGGGGGCTCGAAGTCGCTCAGAACTCACGCTTGATCCCACCCTGCCCTCTCCAGCCTCGAGCCCCAAACACGCGGAAACCCAGCTGTGCTTTCCCTCTTCCACGGACCCCAGCCGGGTCCTCAACACGCTCACCAAAAGTCTCACCAAAAGTACGGAGATGTCTTGAGCAGGAATTACAAAACATGCCCAACGGGACAGAGAAACAACTCAGCGCGACCCCCAGAACTTGGGGTGGGTTGATTTTTACAGCCCCTTTCTGGAGCCCAACAAAGCCAGGCACCTTGAAACTTACAAATCCCGAGCCCAGGCGGGGAACAGCTACAGGGACCTTTGCCGAAGGTCCTCTTAGAGTCCTGCACTGGCGGTGTGCTGGGGAGATCGCGGATGGGAGCGCACGCCGGGGTGGCTGTCCGCGCCCCGGCCGCGCTCACCTGAGTTTCCGTGAGGCTGAGGCTGTGCGCCAGTTGCTTCCTTTCGGCGCCCACCACGTAGTGATTCTTCTCAAAGGCGTGTTCCAGCCTTAGTAGCTGGGACGGGGAGAAGGCGGTTCGGATCCGCTTCGGCTTTCGGGCCAGCGCGTTGTGCAAAAGGAAACTCTCGGGGCTCGTGTCGTTCCCTGCAGGGGACACAGCAGAAGTCCTATTACAAGGGCCCCTCGGACAGGAGACAGGCGCTTCTCCCGAGCCGGGCTGGCGCGGCACGGCGCTCAGTGCTTCCGCGAAGCCTACACCGTTCGACCTGCCGGAGCCGGTGGTCCTCCCGCGGCGCACGAAAGGGACGCCGGCCCAGTCCCCTGAACCGGCCCACTCGGACTCCATCAGCGCGGCGGCACCCAACCAGCAGCTGCCCCGGCGGGGCCAGTCCCCCGGCTACTGACCTCGGCGGGCTTCGCAGCCTCCCTGGCGCCGCGGGCCCCGCCACCTCAGCGCCGGGCGCCGGGCGCCGGGAGTAGGGGAGGGAGCGGCAGAGCCCGGCCTGGGGGTTGGCGCCCGGGACCCAAAGAAACAGCTTTCTCTTCTTTCTAACCTCTCGGGGAACTTTGACCCTGGGTAGAGAGGCGGCGGGCTGCTATCCACAGTTTTCTCAGAGATTTAGTTTTAAATTATTTGTCGTGGTACCCCACCGGAGAAATACAGAGGCCGGGCGAGTCGTTGCAGCCTGACCCGGACAGAAATCCCGCGAGCGGGTGTGCCTGGCTTCAGCCGCTGCCGCCTTTCCAGGACCAGGCTCCGGGGCTACCCGGCTCCCGTGCGCCCCGGCTCCAGAGAACTAGAAGAGAGACGCGAGCAGAGGGATCGAAACCCAGGGGTTACGGAGTTGCAAGCGCCTCCGGGACGCTCTGAGGCCCGGGAAGACCCCAGCTGCTCCGGGTTCGGTGGGGGAACGGAAAGCGCGGCTGGCAGAGGATGAGGAAGGGAGCCCTGAACTTTTTGAGCAAAGTCAGAGAGTTTCGGGCTCACTCCTTAGGGTAGGAAATCAATTCACCGAAAACCCAAAGAAAAACAAACCGACAGCCCAGGCGGGAATGGAAGCAAACCCAGTCCAGAAGTAAAGGTGAGAGGTTTTATTGTTGTTTTGGTTTGGTTTTTTAAATTTGAGGAGGGGAGGATACATCGACCCCGACTTTAGGCTCTGGCAGGAACGCAAAGGGTTAACGAATGGACAAGCCGCTGAGTATTGATCGGCAGCCGCCAGAGGCAGGTCTTTTACGGACTCCGATCGGTAAACGAATTACTCACCCCTTTTTCTGAAGTTTTAACTTTCTTCCCACCCCCCACCTTGAGAAAAACAAATCAAAAATATCGCAAGACATGAAAACACCCAAACCGATCTTTCCCTCTGGAACAGTTGCCCCATCCAGTTCATTTGTTTTAAAAGAAAGAAAAACAAAAACCAGACCAAACCTGCCTTCCCGCGGTGGCCGCTCCGCTCCCCAATTAAGCAGGTCGCGGCGCGAGCGGGGAGCCCCGGAGCTTTCCACCCGCGCTGGTTCCCGCCCCTCCCTTGGCCTCCGAAGATCAGGAAAAAATAGACCCCCATACTTGGCTTCAGGAGTGCGAGGGTCGCCTTGCCTCCCGAAGAAGGTCGAAGACCAAGAAGTCTCGGGTTTGGGTGTGAGCGTGAAGTGGCTGGAACGCAGTCGCAGCAAGCGCGGCGGCCAGGCCCTGCCGGCGCCCCTCGGAGCCAGGACGGCCGGTGGCATCGCGGAGGGGATCGGGAGCCCGGAGACCGCGCGGGCTCTGGGCTCCCGGGCAGCAGGCGTGCTCCGCAGGCTGGCCCAGCCCGCCCCGACCCGAGCGCACTCGGGGACAGCTTCCCCGTCCGCACCCCTTCCCGAAGGGTCGAGCGGCCGGCGGGCCGTCCCTCCAAGCTGCGGAGCCCGGGGGCCGGCACCACGCCCGGCCCCGCGCCGCCCAGTCTCCGAGCCGGGCGCGTGGGCCCGCGCGCCAGAGGAGCCTCCACCCAGGCCTTGCCAAGCGCCCACCCGAGCAGGCCCGCGGCGGCGAAGGATGCGGCGGGAGCGGCGCGCTGCAGTCCCGCGACGTGGCACGTACCTTGGAAGCGATGGCCCAGATATCGGTAGCGGTGGATGAGCCAGGGATAGAAGGTGGACGGGTCCCGCTGCTGCGAGGCGAAGAGGGGGTGTGGCGAGTGCGAGGAGGGCAGGGGGTGGGCGGCCAGGGCGTGCGGCGGCGGCACCGGGTGCACCGGTACGGCGGGGTTGGGCGGGTGCGAGACCGCCTCGGCGAACACCAAGTCCGGGTTGGAGTAGACGCCCCTACCGGCGGCGGCGGCGGCGGCCGAGTGGAAGCCGTTGAGGAACGGATTTATGGGGCTGGAGTTGGCGTAGCTGAGTGCCGCGGGACGGATGGGGTCCTCGGAGCGCGAGGCGGGCAGGGGACTGTCCTTGGCCACCAGCGACTCGATGGTGAAGCAGCGCTTGGGCGCCGGCTGGAACATGCTGTGCCGAGGAGCGGGCGCCCCGGGCTCCCGGCTCCCGGCGACCGCGGCGCGCTGCCTCCGCCGCCCG